TCCCACCGTCTTACAACGCGGGCCGAGGAAGTCGACCTGCATGCGAGCGGGCGAGTGGTTTAGCCCACGTAGGTTGTGCCGAGGTGCGGAGGGACGAGCGCACCAAGGGTAGAAGGGGTCGCAGATCATAGCAGCGGTCCTACGGAACCCTTCCCCAAATTTGGTCTCCATAATATCTCATTTGATTGAGCGCTACTGAGATCAGCGTCGGGCGCTATTGAGATCTATGAGTAAGTCTGCCTAGTGTTTGATTATGTGAGGCTATGTTCTTGATGTTAGATTATCTTAATGATTATCCTTGTGAGAAATATTTTGTATGGGCTACTTACCTGAGGTACGTATTTGAACTTATCAGTCTGTAAGGATCTATATGAGCATCTTAAGTTCGATTATTGATTTATGGTTTTCTATTAAGTTCGTGCATTGGGATTGCTTTTCAAAAAGGAGTAAGGGCATTGCGCAGACTTCACGTTTGATGCGGCTTCAGAGGTGAATGGAGTGACCACTTCCTTGAGGTAAGTTTCTTCTAATGGAATGATCAATGTGTAAGGTCTAACATAAGGAAGGGTGCAATCTATGTTATTGTTTCCCTGAGAGATGGTTTTGAAGAAGTTATAACTCCGTCTTGTAGGTGGTAGTGAGACCCACGCCGGAACTATATTCCTGGTCCATAGTGGGGTGTTGTTGTTGTATCCTCTGTGATAAGATGACTACACTATTACTGAATAGGAGGAAAGTGTATGAGTCTTGTTAGGCCATGGCCTATGAGGGAAACAACTGCTGCATGGCACAAAGAGGTAGGGGGTGAATCCCCAACTACTTTTGTGTCAAGTGGGTTCAACAGCATAGGACGAGACAGTACATCCCAAAGCGTGTATGGTGAGGTTGTTTACTTTGGCGGCAAGGGTCTACAAGGACCAAGTGTTGGAATCGGAGGGAGAAGCAGTGAGGCTTAATCTTTTAGTGGGGCTCAAGGATTTGAGATGCTATCCATTCTGAAAAGGATTACACTGCCCTTCGACACAATATACTTCTATCAAAGTTGGGGAGTAAAATGTGGTACTCTCGCTAGTATTTTGTCTGAAAGTGCTAATTGTTGGCGACTTCATTTATGATCATGACGTGTTTGTCATATGATATGTATGTTAGTATAAGTTATCATTATGAGGTATTTGTATATGCTTCTGGGTGACTAACTAGCTTGTATATAATGCATTTGCCTTTTTTGAGTATTTTTTATGTCAGTTACTAAGGTAATATGTTATTTTCCATGAGTAATTATTACTGTGAGTTTTAATATTTGTGAATATATTATTACCATGATAGATTACTGGTATTATTTCCTCTAAGCTGGGTGGTCGTTAACACTGAAATGATGAATTTTAGTGAAAGATTATTTCAAGCTAGGACTTTAGGAGTAGAGATTGTAAGAACGCGATTGTCAGTATAGTAACAAAAGGCGTATGCTGGACGTTTTTCTGTGATGGGCAGAACCCAGACCAGAGCGAAGGCAACTCAGGATGCCTTATGCTAAGGAAGATCCCAGTATGACCTCTTAAGAGGGAAGATGGACTCGAAGTATCTTTACCGAGAAGAGTTAAGGAAGGAGAATATATCTCTTCCTGGTGGGGCATGCTCATAGGCAAGGGTAGCTTCGTCTGGATTGAGTCTAGGTTCGATGATGATTGGGACTGTGCGATCGTGAGAGTAACACTCTACGCGCCACCATCGTTTTGGGTCTTGTATGGGATTGAGTTGGCGCTTGGGCATGTAAGCCTACTTGCAAAGCCTTTAAGGATAGCTAAGGGAGTTATAGCGAAGTGGGCAAGGAGAAGGATTCATGACGGAGAGGGGCAGGTGGTGACCCATGTAGAGGTCAAGCATACCAAAGAGTTTGTACTACTTTCAGCTTCGTTACGAGTCATCCTGCCTGAGTTTCTGGTAGAAAAGTGTTTTGGGGGACAGGCAAAGGTAGAGGCAGCAGTTGAGGCCGCTTTTAGGGCATAAGAATGAAGATATGAGCATTATACGTGTGAAATGATATATAGCATGTACCTCGACCAAAGGTTTTTACCCCTAGTCAATGGCTTAGGAACTTGGTCAACGTAGTTGACACATATGCTAACTCTCATGATGCAGATGAAAAAAGTGAAGATTGGGATGAAGTACAGACAAAAGTGAGTTGATAGAGATTGCCCTCATATTCTGCCAAGTGTATTTTTTTTAAACTCGTCTATGACCTTTTTACTCTGCGAGTACGAGGACCAATGACAGTTGTAGCCACTACTACTGTCAGTCCATGACTGGTTTTTGAAAACTCTGCCTATAAACGTTGTATACTACTGGTAGTACCTTTGAAGTTTAGAGCAAGGGTAACTAGGGTTTTGTCGTGTGAGCAAGAAGATGGTTAATGTGATATGAGTGTTAGTAGTTTTGTATGCCCATATCTGTTTTTTAGCTTTTTTGGACTACAACCTGATGATCCATTGCTTGCTATGCGTATCAGGCCGGCATCGACATCATGACTGAGGAAAGTGGTTTTGTGAAGATCCTACTTTGGAGGAGCTCATGCCTCACGAAAGTGTTGCTGTGTGAGTCAGTGCGTGACTCAATGCCCCTAGATCTTCGAGCCCTGTTGTTTCAGGGAAACAATTTGTTTAACTTCCTGCGTGACTATCAGGGTTTCGGCCTCGCAAAGATGTGGGACGAGAGAGCAATGTGGAGTACGCTGCCATTGTTCGTATGCGAAGGATTGAGTGAGGAAGTATATACTTTAATGTTGAAGTCGCGAACCTGGGGCGAGCTGAAAAACTCTTTAAGCCACAGGTCCCCCCGCCACCGAAAACCCCCGGTACCGGTGAGTTAGGGAAGGGTTTTTCGGAGGTCCTCCGCCCCGAACTCACCGATCTCGCAAAGTCCCTGGCAACTGCACCAAGGCCCCACGGTGTAGAGGGCGGACGACAGTGGGGTTGCATCGAGCGGCTGCGAAACGGTCGGGTGGTCCAGTTTTTGGGTCGCTGACAATCTGTACCGAGCTTTCACGCTGTGGCGAGAAATGAAGGGCCGCACTGAAAATGCAAAATAAAAAAAAAACGAGAACAGATCCAAAAATTCCGCCGTCGCGCGCCTTTTTTTTTTTTTTTTTTTTTTTTTTTTTTTTTGTCATTGTTATCATTGTCCCGGTACTACCGATATATACATATGAGACGACGATGTGGAAACGCGTCTCCTCTGTGTAGTCGTCTAGGGTTTGGATGTTGTTGACGCTTTCCCTCCGTTCGATGTTGTGACACTCATGTCCGCCATCGCCACGAGCCCCCTAACCCGACCTTGCCTCATTGCTGTGTTGTTTCCGTTCGCCGTTCTTGCCGCCTTGTTTCCACCAGCGTGAACTTGTTCGAGGCGATGTGCTTGGGGTCGTTGTAGCTCTGCGAGGCCGGCGAGCAGTGCGGCGATGTGGCCTTTCTCTCTCTCTCTCTCTCTCTCTCTCTCTCTCTCTCTCTCTCTCTCTCTCTCTCTCTCTCTCTCTTCGCGTGACGTCGTGGTGGGTGGTCGGTTAGGTTTCCTGTGTGGTGGTTCGTGTCTCTGTCGGGTTGCGTTCGGGATGTGACAAAGGCGCCATCGCTTTGTCCACCCGTCCGCTGCACCTCCAGCGTGCTGGCGGTGTCGCAAGCGTTTCGTTTTTTCGTGACGCGGGTGCAGGACCGGCTGCGTTGCACTTCTGCGGTGGCTGTGTGTGCATGCGTCTTTGAGTGGCGTCCAGTACCCGTGGGTGTGCTGCCGAGTGTTCGCTATTGTGCTGTGTGTATGAGGTCGCGCGTTTGGAGTTGTGTTGCCCGTCGTCGATCCTCCGCTTTGCTGCGGTTCTGTGTAAGTGGGACTGTGGTCGTGTGCATGTGCTTGCTTGTTTGTGTGCGTGTTCGTGCGTGGTCGTTTCTTCTTCCTTTTCTCCTTTGTGTTGTTGTTGTTGTTCTTCTTCTTCATCTTCCTTTTTTTATCCTTCTTCTTCTTCTTCGTGTTCTTCTTCATCTTTTTTTTTTTTTTTTTTTTTTTTTTTTTTTTTTTTTTTTTTTTTTTTTTTTTTTTTTTTTTTTTTTTTTTTTTTTTTTTTTT